AAAGCCCTAAACCACAAAACCCAAAGCCCTAAATTCCAAGGCATAAAATCCCGAAAGTCTAACCTCCTTACCAAGCACAAAGCCCGAAAAACCCCAAACAGTTGAAATGCACAAGCAGCCTCGAAAAAGGCGCAGATAGGTGCAATTCGGAAGACCGAGTCAGCAAAAACAACAAATACACAACCATTCCTCTGCGTGAGCCGTGACCTTCCCCATTCAGAGCCCATCATACTTGTGACTGTATGAGTATTTACCGACAGACTCGACCTGAGTGCAACAGCAAAGCACCCACCCCAAAGCAGCGCACAGCTCAAGCCAGACAAGAAGCGAGACACAAATGCTTTTGCTTTAGGATAACAGGTGGAAACTGCATGATTGGCGACAATGGTGGGAGACAGGCCACACCGGCAGACTCAAGCGCCCGGAGTCTCCCATTGGCGTGTCCGTGGAGGGAGACGAACGCGGAGAAATGAGGGGCCAGTCAAAGCTCATCTAAGATCATTTTGTTCCACGGCTTTGAGATGCCATGTGTGGGCGCAAGTACTTTTGGCGACTTTTGCCGAAGTCGGAAATGCACCTAGCGGAAAACCCATCAAAACTGTGACCAGGTCCTAACCTGTAAACCTCGAAATCGCCACTTCCAAAATGGCTTGGGGTAGATGGGTGAAGTGCGTCGGTATTTCCCTAAAACAAAACAATTGGCTGACTGTGTTGCTAGCGATGAAATACTACTTCTACTGCGACCATTTTGGCCGGGTTCTTCGATTATGTTTTACCTTTAGTACTAGTACTACTAATTCTACTTTCTGAGTAGTCACTATGGCCATTACTATTATCAGTATTAGTACCATATTTCTGATTGTTGCTGTTGTTGTATCTACCAACCATGAACTGCCAACTTTTCATTATGCATTTTAGCTAGTAACTGGTCGGCATTACCTACTACCGTTTCTATTTATTCACGACTAACTGCGAAGTACTGATTTCAAAGAGACAGCTGTATTCTACTAAATATTAACTACTCACCTTTAATTGCTAATGTCAAGCTGATCGTTATTAATTATGAAGCGAAGGTTCTAACTTTGTATCCACTGCGAAATCAAAGCTGCTACTACCCAAAGGAGACGACTGATGTCTAGTGGTGATTAGTTGGTGGCGCGGAGATTGCCTCCGTTTCATCACCAATGCAGCCGCTTTGTGGGGGGGGATTACGTTTCATCACCCATAGCTTTGTGGGGGGGGGTATGACGTTTCATCACCACTGCATCCGCTTGGCCTGTCAGTGAGGGGGGAGGTAGAAGGCTCGGGGGAGGTAAGGCTCCAGATTCGACCGCGGGTCGCCCCCGCAACCCAAAACCCTGCAGAGGGAGTCCGTTGCGTAGCTTCTCAAGAACACGTCTAAAGGTTGTTCGACAGCAGGTCACCCCCTTAACCTCAACCCTGCAGAGGGGAGTCCATTGCATAGCTTGTCAAGAGCACTTCTATAGCTACTAAAGGTTGCTTACATGTGGGCGTTTCGCAAGAACGCGGGTGCGCGAAATCTGTCGGGATTGTGCCGAAGCTCACCCTGAAACATCAGGGCCTTGTGTGCAGAAACGCGCCCTGAGATATCTGGGCATTGACGCGCTGTCAAACACATGGGATTGCGTGAAAAAGAAGTAGTTTGCAGTATTTTGCACTACCCCTTGTAGTAGGCTAATTGCCAGCCATGAAGTATTACCTGCTTGGCACACGGTGTGTGGACTAAATAAACTATCTACTATCCATACTCTTGGAGGATTCTTTGCTGAGTTTCTGAATTTGACCATCTTCGACCACAATGATCCACAATTTATATTGACTTTCATCTGATTTGAATCGTGAGTTGGAGAAAGCCTTTTGAAGAGGACTGGAAGTTTGCCTTTCTTTTGTTGAAGTTTGCCATTGATCAAACAGGAAAGCCTTGCGTTACGCAACACACTATCAATCCAAATGCAACAGTCTTGCGATTGAAAGGACACGGCGATTTTTTTCAGTACGGGTGGACAAATCGTCTGTGATATCTGATATAAAGTGTCAAGTTTCCCTCATGCGACGCGGGCTGTACTTTGTTAAGGCCCAAGCTTAGTGCAAGGACGCCTGCGGTTCTCACCGATGAGCTAGAACGAGAGTGCTGGCAATTCGACATGTCAGGTTGGACCTAGCGCGCGACACGTTATCGCCTATGGCCATGGACTTTGAAACTCGAGGTAGTGACTTCTTTGACAGTTTGGGAAGAACCCTCAGGCTTGATGATCTTACCAGCTGCAGTCAAGGAAGCTGGCAGGGAGGCAAACCGTACTTTGCTCTGTGCTTTGGTTGAGGGCTTTGTGATTATGGTCAGATGAAGGCACGCATTGTTTTGAAGGCGCAGCAGATGGAGAAAGCCTGGGAGGCGAATGCCACAAACGGTCAGCTCGGTCCTCGGACAGCTGATGAGCGGCTAGCTGTGCCATCATGTGCTCTTGCATCGCCGCTTCATGTGTCCCTTGTCTTGCTGTGAACGCGGAGCGCTGAGCGCCCGTTTTTGCAGGTCTCAGCCATTGCAAGCTCTGACCGAAGACCTCTCAAAAATGTTTCAGCCAGAGTGCCAGCCCTACCTACCAAATGGCCTTTCTGGCCACGATCATCCATGTCTTGCAAAGCTGCCTTGCTCAGGCAGAACCGTCGACTTCACGAGAAGTCCTTTCACACACCTGCAGGGGTGCACTACGACATGTTTGGCTTGCATCTGCTTCCTTAGAACCTTGTGCCAAGAGCCGGATCAACTGGAGACATGACCCAACTATTCCAACCATGCCAGGGTGAGTTCAGAGAAGAGACTCTGGACGACATGGAGGCACGTCTGAGCAGCCCGACCTGTTGCCGAGCAGCTGGCGCATGTCTGCGGCAGGATGATTGGAGCTGTGCGCTCAGCGATGTGTGCTGACTCTTGGCATAGCAAGGCAAGGCAGACACATTCCCTGTCTGGAGGCAAACATGGCTCTTTTGACGAGATGATCGCTTCTGCCTAAGCTTGCGACATCATCCCATGGTTCGATGCCATTCGCAACATTTCGCAACCTTTTTCTGCTGGGCTCTTGAGGTGCAGATAACAGAGCCCATGCACTATCCGATCACAGATGCAGCTGAATCCCCAGGGTGTTCGGTTGTCCGATGCCATGCCGGATGGTTCTGGTCTGGGCTAGAGCGACGGTGCAAAGGGCACGCTAGGGCGAAGAGCCGAAAGCTGGATCGGCTTGTGCCTCAGACCATGCTCACAGCCCTGAGGTGATGCAGTACTTGCTCTCCGTGGATGCCTTTCGTGGCCTGGAGGCTCGAGCATGTTTGAGCGTGTTGGCTGCTTAGTTGCTTGAGAAGGGCTCCTCTGCTGCGATTTGCGCAGGACGGACGCGAGGCAACACATGGCCCAGCGCCTAGGATCACGTGCGACAAAACGACAAAACGAGGCCCAGGAATTCACCTCTGTGGTTTCGTGCCATACTCAGGCCCAGTTAAAATTATCGGCTACGAGCTTCTGGACTCCCCAGGGGCTGCAGACCAGAAAGCCAGAAGTCGCTCCAAGGCAGCTTGCAGACTGAGTCCGCTTGTCCGCTTGTCTGTTCCCTTCTCGAACCCTTGTTGGCTTCTTGCAAGCTTCTTTGCGTGTGCTTCCTTGTGAAACCTCGACTTCAGACCCCGCTCACATCCGTGAACCAGTTCCAGCGCATTCAGTTTGCTCGATCTAGTGTTGACTCCCATCACGCAAGCTCCTTGGAGCTTGCGGAAGTTGTGGTTTACAACCTTTTGCAACCTTTTGGGCGACTTGGGGGCTTGCCCCCCACCTGAGGGCCTGCAGCTTGTGCCAACGTAATGAAACCGCAAAGAAGGCATGTGTAGCGGCTGGTACATTGTCACAGCTTCATTGTCCCAACCAGGCCAGTGCGACAAAGAATTCAGCGCGGATCGCTCCGCAGAGAGCTCCGCGGATTCAGAGATTGGAGGAGGCAGATTATTCACTCGTAGTCACTTCAAAGGCTCCTAGGGACTCTTGGGGAACTCATGTCTTCACGCATGGCTTCGCAGCCTCCATTGCACGTTCATGAGGAAGATATAGGAAGATCACCCTGGTGAGGAAGATACGAAACTCTGGGACGCACGCGGCAGTCGAGGACTGAATGATGGTTAGTTATTACAACGTTCTGGAATGGACTCTCATGAATCGTTGTGAGGTATTGCCCAGTCACAGACAAGCCTCGGCCAGCTCCTTGCAGTAGCGGAAGCCAAGTTGAAATGGAATGACCTTGTAGAGCTGGGATTCTCTGAGGATTGTATGCCGCGATGGCAGCACTCGGCATATCGCTTTTCGTTGCATTCGTGGCGAGGGGTAGACGAGGTGAAAGCCTTGGAGCCTTAGAGCTTGTTTCGAGGCAATGGAGGCAAGCACGCGGGCGAAGTGCAGCGGTAAAGGAGTGCTGCGAAGGGCTGCAAAGTGCTTGCAAAGGTTATTCATCTTTGGCATCGCAGAGCCCTGAACCCGCCGAACTCGGTGCTTAGCGCGGGAAGGGGTCCGCAACCACGTTGCCTCTATCTCCTATTGATGTATCACCCCACAAACCACTATTCTTTTGTAAAGCCGTGTCGGACCGTCCCAGAATGGTACGGATCTGCTCGGGTGAGTTTGCCGCCGACGTGCCGGCATTTGGGATTCGTGATTGTGCCCATCCTGTACGCAGCGTCGAACAGCTACTCGGCTACTTCACCGGACCACCATGCAAGATCAGAAAGACCAGGAAGACTTGCCTAGAGATGCGTACGCAAGGGCTGCTGGCTTCTCAAGCCGACGTTATCCAATTGTTTGCCATAATTTGGAATTTGCCTGCCTAATGCGGAGCAGTTTTCGCACGCCCACCCTCGGTAAGAGTGCAGCGTTCATTCAAGAGAGGAGCAGCTTGATTGCCGCTTATGCCCTAGGTCGTGCAGGGTCGTGCAAAATGTTGCAGGTCTTGGGCCAGTCAGGGTCCGGGTCGCCTGCAAGCACCGCAGCGAGCAGCTCAGCAATGAGTCGGGTTGTGGTATGAAATGTCAGGCAATCCATAGTAAGCCTGCAGGAACTGTACAGGATATGTACGTGATCCTGAGTCTGGGATAGTGTGTTCATGTGCAGGATGGCGTGTCAGCTTCAGTGGCAAGGGCCGCCGCAGCGGCCAATGGCTGATTGTACAACGGGTGCGTTGGTGGATGTCGGTGGTTCATTCACAACTGGAGACTTGCCCCCTTTGAGCCTGTGCCCGAGGCTCAAGCTGCCAGGGTTCACGTGGCTTTGTCCGGAGGCCGCTCGCTTAGCCTGCGATTCTTGGAGTGGACGCCTGAAGCCGCAGGCCGAGCAGTTGCGGGTGGATGCGCTCCGACTTCTATTGGTGGGGCTGGTAATGATGAGGACAGGGCATGCAACATCAGTGTCTCGCAGGTGTCCTGCTTGTAGTCCCTGATTTCAAGAACCGCGGCGATGCTTGATTTTTGACATGTCAACAAGTGCAGCCTTCTGTTTGTTTTCCTTGACGTGTCAAGGAGAGCATAAACTTCGACATCCCCTTGCATCTTGCGGACAAGGTTACGCATTGAGCGGGCTCTTGCTTGGCCAGTCTGAAGTTATCCAAAATCATGAGCCTTCGTGTTTCAGCACTTCCGTTCGCTGTTTGCTGTTAGTGGTTTAGTGATGATATTGGGCTTTTCCTATGTTTCGAAATAGGGTCTGAGTGGCAGCCCCACGTTCTGCCTTCAAGTTTACAGTTTGAAGAGGGCTGGGCCTTGTCCAAATGTCTGGTCGAGGTCTGTTTCTTTTTGTGTGACTTGCTCTAGTTTTTCTGACTTGGCGACAGCAACCAGAACAGCATTGCGGGAGGGTCTTCTTCGTGAAGGCAAAAGAGGGTGTATATATTGACTTGCGTCACTTCGTGCAAGCAGCAGGGGGGCAAGATGATTGGTTCACTACGAGCAGTAGTAGCAGCAGTAGGAGTAGTAGTCCTAGAAATGAGCACCGTCGTAAGGGGTCGTGGCAGTGGGAGTATTCGTAATTGTAAACGCTTGCGCGCGTGGCCTCGGCAGCCGGGCCGGCCCAAGCACAGAAAAGGCAGGTGGAGGGTTTCTGGAAAGGTCTCAAAGGCAGCGGGGGGGTCCAGGGGGGTTCCAAGGTGCCAGGGCGGGTCCCAGCAAGAATCCTAAAGGAAGGGGGGTCCCAGCAAAAGTCTGCCCTCTCCAGGAGCACCGACACGCGAAGCCCCCAAGGCATCGGTTTGCAGCTCCTCCAAGCGATGGGGGGGGGTCCCACAAAGCGGGGGGGGGGTTAGGTTGCTGGATCCGTGTCTGCTTGTTCCAAACGCTTCTCGCCAGGAAGCCGAGGCAAATTATTCGTAGTGGTCGAAGTCTAGTAGTCGTGACAGTCAAGTAGTCCTACTCCCCGGAACTCCTGCTAGTTGTACTTGTCGTAGGTAGAGTAAACATCAAGAGGACAAAGCTTGCTGTATCAATGAGGACGGAGTACCAAATCTGAAGCACCAAAGAAGTACGAAGCAGCCATGTTCTGGCATGCGCCGCTCTCATTCACCGAAACTTGTTGTTAATGTCATGCTGCGTGATCAGGTTCTTGGCGATGGCTCTTGGCAGCACACAGTGGAATCAAAGACAGGTGCCCGAGTCATCGCCGCATTCCCAGTCTGGCGCATGCAATGGTGCTGCCTACTAGTTATCTTGGTTCCTTGTGGCGCTTGCAGCGGTATGCTCGGGTGAGGTATTCTTGAGCCTGGTTTTCCAAGATCTTGCAAATATTTGCACAGACTACAAACTCATGTGGCAGATGATTTTAACAAGAACAGATTCAGAACAGCGCTTGCTCTGGATCTTGTACGGGGAGCATCTGAAGATGGTGGCTTGGGTTGGATGACACGTAGGTGGTAGGGCTCGATTGAGCTCCTTATTGCACACGTTGGGATGGTTGTAGGACGGTGCAGTGTTGGGGCCGGGCCAGTGTAAGCAAGTCCATAGAGCAAGTTCATGACTTAATCTGCCAGTTTTGTGGCCAAGGTTCGGCGAGATGCGCTGAAATGTCAGCTGGAACTTTGTGGAAGGCCGGAGCAGGCGTGAGCGGCACACGAAGTTGTGCAATGAGGGGACAGCCTGTTAAAGTGATTTGCTGAGGTTGTGGAGGCGGAGCAGTTCGCGGAAGAGACCGTCCGGTGTGCCGTAAGAGTTTGTGATGTTGTTTGATGTGTCAATTTCGGCTGATCGCGCTGTCCTTTGCAGTGTCATTGCAGCCGGCACACCTGTCCCTCCTGAGTTGGACCCTGAGCACCTCTGGCAATTGCAAGCAGCACAAGTTTCGCAAAACTCGAAGCTTCCATGGTTCTAGCCGAGGACCAAGGCCCCGAGCCCTGTGGTCATCCCGACTTTGGCTTATGTGATCTTGCGTGTTTCCTCGTGCTCATTCTGCTTGGACTTGAGAAGTGCAAAGACTACAATCATGGGTGCGACGCTGTCAAAGCTAAGGCCACCTCTGCCTCCTCCTGTGAAAGGCCACATCTGCAGAGCAGCATGAGCATCTGAAACATGCTGAGACAGAGACGGGACAGCGAGACAGATTCACCAATGTCGGGGAGCCGTCTCAGCGCAGGGCTTCCTCGACCCAAACTCAGAAGGACCTTGGATTCTCCAGACACGGTGCTGAGAGAAGCTTGAAAACCAAACCCATAAGAATGAGAAGCGGAAGGCGGAAGAGGAGAAAGAAGAAGTAACACTGGCGCGAAACGAATCCATCCAAAGGCCAAGGTGCAGGAAAGTGCGTGCTTGCCACGTTTCGAGACCTAGGCGTGAGGTTTCGAGTACGGAACGTGCAGGGAACCTAGGTGAGCGCGCGCGCGGGGGCAGAACTCTGCCCTTGCATCTTTGTGCGAATGCCCGCGCCGGCGAGTGCGCGAATATGGCCACAAACGCGAGCAGGCCCCGAGCGAGAGCCAACGCCGTGGCAGCGCCCGGCGGCCACCGCAATCTAGCCATCCTGACTTTGAGGTGTTGGCAATTGTTGACACACTGGGAGGAAATAAGGCTGTAAGAAGAGCAAGCGGAAGAGGAAAGAGAGACGACAAGGCGAGCGAGTGAGCAGCTAACACCGCAAGTGCTGACCCGTGCTTTTGTCCCCTCCCAACCCTTGCCCCTCGAGCCCACATGCACACGTGATCTCAGGTGAGACCTCAAACATACATTCCGCACATGCGAAATGCGACTGCTGAGCGACAGTGGAGCTGCCCGATTTCAAACGAAGTCGCCAAAATGCACGCGCTAGCTGTAAACTCGCTGATTCCTGCGGACAGGCTCCGGCTTTGCATGTTGCAGCTCGTGGCTCATGATGCCTTCATGATGCTCATGTTCTCAAGCTTTTGCAGAGCGAGCAGACAGTCGTCTGTGGTTGTTTTGTTGGGGCTTGGAGGCCTAGAGAGCCTATGCACGGTTTTGGAAGATCCAGTGAAGATCCGAAGTGGTACAGCTGTTGTACTGTCGCATTGACAGCTCATGACACGAGAGCTTCTCCGCATCCGACTCCCGAAAAGTTGTCACTGTGCCAGCGACGTTCTCTTCACTGAAACAGGCTGGCAATTGTCTGCGATTCCTGAGTGATGCCGAGTCAAATAGTCGAGTCTAGCAACCATCTCAGTAGGTCTCAGTTTTTGGAGGAGTGGAAGAGCAAGCGGGTCCAAATTTGCGCTTCTGTCTGCGGATCAGGTGTCGCGGCCTCCGGTGTCATGGGGGCTTCTACACTGCCCAGGCTTGGGAAACAATCGCATCTCGGTGGCGCAGGCTAGCTGCATCTTTGATGTGAACAGGCCTCCGCTGGCGCTAGCTCCAGGCCGGAGTCGAGAGTGCGCAAATTTCAGCTATTGTGCAGCGCGCGAAGTGCAAGAGAGCGCAGTAGTTAGGCCAGAGCATGCAGAATAGGCACTCGATTTGCGACTAGGCCTGGTAGCCTCTCAGTCTCAGGCCACGGGCTCTGAAGCTTTTCTGCGACGCTGTGACATGCTGTGACATGCTGTGACATGCTGTGACATGCTGTGACATGCTGTGATATGCTGTGACATGCTGTGAGATAGTGCAACTCTTCTCTGTCACTCATCGAAACTTTCTGTAACAAACAGCAGCAGACAACTTCAAGTCTGCGCAGTGTGGTGACCGACCCGTTGCAGAGGTGCAGTTTGTTTCGCCACCATGGTCTAAGCTCGGTCCTCGAGTCAAGCCTAGGCAGTCGCAGGATTGATTGGAGTTTAGTTGGAAGTTCCTGGCAGTCCGGTGCTGCTGCCGACCTGGCCTGAGACAGTTGTAGTCGGATCGAAACCTGCACGCGATGGTGAGATTAAAGCACCTGCCAACCAGGCGTCCCGGTTTTGCTGGGCTTGCGCCTCAAAGACGTTGGCAGGGAAGCTTTCAGTTGCGCATGATCTGCATGTTTGCACATTGTGCAATCGCGAGACCCTCGCTTCACTTCCGCGGTTCTGCTTAGGAACTTCCACCGCTCGCGCACATGGATGTCATAAAAAAAGGTTGCAAAGGCTCCGGATCCAGCGGTATGTGGATGATCCCTCGAATTTTGTGCAGGTCTAGGGCAATCTAGAGCCTCTAAGGGTCGATGAAACCAAGTCAGGACTCCAAGGGTGTTGTCACTCAGGACAGTCGTGCCGCCGCCGACGGCACCGAGGTAGCTTTGTGATCCGTAACATGAGGAACGTGCAGTAGTGCAGCACAGATCGTGCACCTCAGTAACCTGCGAGGCCGGTCCAGGCGGCTTGCGCAACGTGTTACTCTGTGTTGCTGTCATTTCGCTGGCTGGCTTTTTATACGTTTTCAGCTGCAAGGTTGCTCTTCTTTGATCGGGCGCAGGTTCCAGCCGTGGTTCCAGCTGTGGTTCCGGCTGTGGTTCCAGCCGTGCACTTCTTCAAGTTGAGCTGAAAGGAAGCGCTGGGGTAGAGTGCGTGGCTAGTACACATTCTGGTGCGATTCAGCCAGCACGCATTCTTGCGATCGGTGCCCGTGTACTGTTTTGCAGGGCGGCAACATCCGCAACACATCCACGCCACTTTATGTGGACTCCTGCAACGAGCTCCGGCTACAGGGCCTCGGCCTCCAGTGGACACCGATGAGAGGAGGACAGGCACATGGCCCAGTGGACTCCAGGAAGTGCCACAACGGACCGCAGGGCCTTAGATGGCCTTTGGACATCTTTTCTTAACCAATCGCACGTAGGCCACAAGATGTGGCTGCATGCTCTTTGTGCAAGTGCGATGAAAGAGAGCGTGCCTTGAGTTCTTCTTGTTTCTCCACTTGAAACCGAACCCTTGTAAAACTGAACCCAGCATGCAAGACCGAGCCATTGGCTTCAGGATCAACCATCAGCTGCCATGTGCTGCCCATGTGCTGCCCATGAGCTGCCCCATGTGCTGCCCCATGTGCTGCCCAATGTGCTGCCCATGTGCTGCCCATGAAATCGGATCACAGAGCCCTGACTCAGATGTTGGGAGATTGCAGTCTTCTCAGTTAGCATCAGCATGGTCTATGCCCGCGCGCTGCAGAATGACGAGGCCCCAGCCTCGAAGGAAGGGCTTCATTCTTTGAATAGAGGCATCTTACAGAATCTTTGTCTATTTTCCTTAAAGGTTCGGCTTAGTTGCTTACCCCGCTCAGGAGCATGCACATCTTCCAGATGGCGGATGCTTGAATGAACATTGGGTGTGAGACATGACAGGACTGACAGCTACAAACACCTGTTGCAGCGGTTGGCAGAGGATTGGTAAGCGCCTGCCACGACGAATTTCCCTGGGAAGAGGACAGAAGTTGACCTTTGCAGAGCACTGTAGTGTCCCCCGTTGAAGTCAGGAAGAGAATCTTACTGTCCCGCTGGCCATTCATTCTCTCAGAGATTGTAGGATCTCAGTCTCAGTCTGGGCGAGATTTCCGAAGGCACCTTGAAAGCATTTTGAAAGCACTTTTTCTGGAGTTCTGCTGCTCAAGCCTGGGCTGCAAGCTGCTGTGGGCTCCGAGGAACTGGAGACGATCGCGAGGACCCGGGGCATCTGGGATAACCCTCTGAGACCGTCTCCGCGTTTCCGAACTGCGAAATCACACTTTAGTTGGTATGGTTGGAACATGTACTGCATGTGAATGAGCAGCAGCCCATGGAGCTCATGAGAAAGTTATGCCGTTGGTGCTTCCAGTCCAGCTCAGCATTTTGTATCCAAAAACCAAAGCCCTAAAGCATAGTGTTAGTGTAGCACAGCGTAGTATGGCGATCGACCCAGAACCCCAACACCCTTACTTAACTCGAAATCAGATTCTTGTTGCGCTCGCTTGTGATCGCTTGTGATCTCAAGTTCTTGCAGGAAGCTGTTGACGAAAATGTCAAGGAAGCTTTAGCGGATGCCTCTAATGGCCGTGAGGACTGGCCCACCTTTTGTAAGAATTGCGAATTTTTCGGAATGTCAAAATTGGTCCTTGAAGGACTTGGTCATCCAGTGGCGGGAGGTCGAAGTTGGGTCGAAGAAACTTTCCCAGCAAAGATTGAGCAGTGGACACCTGTCAGGTGTGTAAGCCTCGAAGGGCTGGTGCCATCCAGGCCCAGCCGAGAGGCTCCCGGAAGGACTTCGCAGCGCTCTTCGAAGAGTGGCTCCAGGCGAACCTTTACTACTGTAGCTTCTTCTGCTTAAGACCTGTCGGTTTTCATGTGCAGGTGCGTGATCTCCAAGGGGTCTTGGTCGAAGACGGCTACCGAAAGGCAGCCCTGACCGAAACGTGAGGCGTTGGCACATGCAGATGCGCAGGGGTGGAAGATTTACAAGTACACCAAGGAGACACCGTTAAGCCGTTAAGCCGTTAAGCCGTTTTGAACTGAAGCACGTTGGAGCTCGTCCATGAGTTACGCATCCAGAACGAAGCTTCAGGATCCAGTTGTGAAAAGCCAGCCTAGCTGGGAGACAGCTTTTCATGGAACCTGGTGGTACTCAGCTGAGGCCCTACTGAGCGTACTGAGGATATTTCCCATGTTCTGGTGGTTAAGAAATGCAGAGGGCCATGCCAGCAAGCATAGCACATGGAGGTTGCATGATAAAACACGCATGTCTGAGGTTTGGTCAGTGTTGGCTTCCGGAGTTTTCCTGGAATCCAATGACCGGGACAAAGGCCACGACTTCTGGGAACCTGGAGCTGGAGCCTGAGTTTTATCATGTTGTGCGCCACCCTGAAAATGCCCTCTTGCACTTTAAGCTCCCAAAAAAACGCTCATCTGAGCATCGTGTCATCAGTTCATCGTGTCAAAAGGTGCTGCGTCTTGGCCGCTCCGCCCAGGTCTATTGCTCTCCGAATCTTTCGACAGCGCGCTGGTATGCACGACCTCAAATCCTGTTTGGCAGACAGCTGAGGGAATTTCTTCAATACCGACGAGACCAAAGCCACAACTGTGAAATAAGGCGACAAAGTATATCACAGAGTGATTTTCGAGCTACGGGTAAACACGGAGAAGCGGATCCGAAATCGGCAGTGTGGATCTCAGGCGCATTCTGTGAATGTTACATCCTCAAGGGTTGATGTGTGAGGCGTGGTGGCGTGCAGTGGATATTCAAACCGGACGCGGTGTCCCTGCAAGCTATTTGGGTTCAGAGGCGCGTGCTGCAACAGCAGAATCAGAGTGTGCATGTTCAGTGGAGCGCAGACGTGGTACCAGGAACGCACCACCAAAGAATGGCGAAGAGCGGATCAACGACTGGGACTGTTTGTAGGGACTCAGCTCCTTTGCTGATGAAAATGCTAAAATGCATATTTCCTGCACCCGTGCCAGGATCCTGGCCTGGAAGCACGCCCACCAGGTAAAGAAGCAGTGGAGCCCACTGCCGCGTCCCAAGTCCCTGGCATGTCCGTCGCTTTGAATTTGCCAGCTGAGTAATTACAGAATAATCTTCAGATTGCCAAGGGGAGCTCACATACAGCCACAAGTTGCATCAAGTTGCGTGTCGCGGTGTCTCAAACGCAAGCTCCGGTAACCTGCATGGAGGGATAATATGCATCTCCAGTTTCGTCACAGCGGAGGGGCAGACCAGGCCTTTTAGCATTATGAATCAATAGCAGTTCTCCAATTAAATATCGCCCGGTTCGGTTCGGGTTGGTTGGCAGTTCAGACAGTTCGCATTTCTGTAACCGAAAGCATTGCGCAGGGTTGTTCAGCGGAGCTTGGGTTGATGTCTCTGCTTTCCTTTTTTTCGGCCGGACGATCCGGCTTGCACGGCTAAAGCTGTTTTTGCTTGTGTTTCCCCTAGGTGTTTTGTTACTTTTCGGGGTCTCGCCGGGATGCATTTCTCGTTTATCCACCACTCTTTCGGTGCGCGCGGGTTTGAGCGCTGTGCTTTTTGTTCAAAACCCTGTGCACAGCAAACACCATTGCAGCCGCCCTGTGCGTCCAGTCTAGCTCTGCACGAGCATTGAACATATTATATATATATATATATCTTTGCGTCCTGTCCCGTTATGTGTGTCTGCTCAAAGCTCACGCCGGGGTCGTACCAGCGCCCGCAGCGCCTAGGTCAATTTACGAAGTGGCGAATGGTCTGATGCCGAAGAAGACCAAGAAGGAGAAGCAGAGGAGGAAGACGAGGCCGTCTTTCCAAGGCAGTGTCCATGCGCTTCTTCAGAGAGCCCTGAAATTTTTCCTGTTGGTGCAACTTGTTCTTTCGGTTTGCCTTGTGTGTCTACGGTGTATGGATGGCTAATGGTGATCCACAAACCTTCTGTCACAAGCCAATCAAAGGAACACAAGGTCTTAAGTCTCAAGATATCTTCTTGAGTCCGAACGCGATGGTTGACAGGGCACATCCCAGCAAATACTCAAGCCGAGGGTAGGCTCAGCATCAAGCGGATGTTGTCAGCAGTCATCGAAACATGTTGAACTCGAGGCCACGCCTACCACTTGTCTGAGTTAACAAGTACACAGCCGGGCAGTGTCGACGGTAAACTGCCAGGACGAGGTTCCCCCACACTTGCTGGGCACCAACCCGTTGGTCGCCCAGAGGCAGTTTTCTTGTTTCTAAAGGCGGCCCTGGAGCATCTGGAGCTCATTAGGCCGAGGCAGCCAATGAAGCTCCCGCCGCCTGTTGTTACCCCGGGTGCCTCCTACTTTGCCCGAAGCTAAGTCTGCTAAGACTGCTCAGCGCAAACGTAGGCCACTTTTCGTCAGATGTCCGCTCAAGGCTCGGTACCGACGAGGAGAAGCTTCAGCCAGAGCCAGGGACCTTGCAGTACGCAGTAGCTGCAGAAAATCATCCATTGTGGAATGTCGTGCGGAGTATGCATGCTATTTGTAGCTTGACCGCCCTGGTCTCCTGGGCCGGGGATCCCTGCCAAACTGCAGAAAATCCCACAGAGAATCTTGTCAGTGTAAATATTTGTTGTTCGCGGTTTTGAGCGTCTACGCTTTTCTTGGAGGATTCGTTTCGGGAGCTTGGTTGCATCATAGGCGTTTTTATTGAGAAAGCTGCTGTTTACATGAAGGCCATGCAGCCAGGCATTGTTCTCGGGCCATTGAGGATTCCTGCTCTCGTGAGCACTCGCGAGATCGAAATGGAAAATGGATTGTTGGGGCACTAAATCCTGCAAATCCTGCTCAAGGCTTGGTAGCATCGCAATACATCGCCGTGACTTTCATGACGATCCTTCAGCCCTTTGCTTCTCTGTAAGAAAAGTAAGAAGTTCTTGTCCGAGCTTCTCCTTCAGTTCCACGTCACCACGTCACTTTTCGAAAGCTGTCTGCGGATGGGGCTTGAAACTGCCTGAGGTCATACCATACAGCACAGACGCCCGCCACCAGCAGGGCTCCTTTTCAATCCGGCACGAGTCCGAAGACAGGACGAATCCCCGTTACTAGACTAGACAGGATGAGAAAGAAGCTCACGTTCTGTGTTGAAGCCGTACATCTGAAACTACTGCCTCTCTGCAAAGGACTTCCAGATTGTCACCGTACCAATGCGCTCCAGGCCCGCCTTTTCGAGCATAGCTTTGATTTCTGTCTCGGCTAAACCGCGAAGAAGCGCTTGCACCAATGTGCACCTGCGGCTCTCTGACTCGACATGTTTGCGAGCTCCCGCAGAGAGACGAGCGACGGGATTTTGTGACAAGACTTGCCGATCACTTGGTTTTCATAGTGCAGTTCAGGTTGACGGCGTTTGTCTTGTTTTTGTCCAACGATGTTGATAATTCAATTGTTCGTGGAGAGTCCACGCTCTTCCCTCCGTCCCCGTCCCCCCTCCTCCCCACCCCTCTCACCCCCCCTTCCCCCGCCCCCTCCCCTCTCCCCTGGGAGCCTCACACTTCAAGCGCGATGTTGACTCGAAAACCCTGTACCCGAAGAGATATGCCGAATAGCAATCCCGAAGCCCTAGCAAAAGTTTTATAACTGCAAACATTCAACGCCAAAAGATGGAGCATCACTAACTACATGTGCTTCTGCCCAGGCGTTGGGCTCATCACCTGTTGAATTGCAGGGTCAGTTGATGGAGTTCGCGCAGATGCTTTTTCATCCATGGCTGGGCGAGAATACCGCGACATTGAGCCTTAACGACTCAACACAGAAGAAAAGCTTTGAAACAAGATGCCGTGCTGTACACCTTGTTTCTTCGTAGGCTTCTCCTAAATGTGCCAGAGATCACAATTGAAAAGGCTTTATGTGCACAGACTCTGACCTGATGCACCTTGGACCTTACAGGCTGGAGTATTTTCAACGTGGAACTTCACCCATATTGGCTCTTAGTATGGGACTGAGGAAATAGCCTCCCTGTATGGTGTCTGAAACTACTACAGCAACTGCAGGACTGCAGGAGCGTGTGAAGAAGAGAACAGTCACTAGCCAGGTGAGCTTGTCTCATATCTTTCAGCTTCGAGAAGGCAGTGTAGCAGCACACCGCGGAAAGGTCCGAACTCCACGAAACGGCCCTGAAAGCTACAACTTAGACACCCCACAACCGACGCGTGCGAACATCCCAATAACGAGCTCTGCTGAGGGAGTGTCGGTTGCCCGCTCAGAATCATTGAATACTTGCTTTCAGCAAATGTTTTAACATCTGCTACCCAATATCATCTGGTCGTGGGCAGAGCTTGCCAACCAAAACATCGGTTGCACAATGAGGGCGCCCAACCAAGTTTTTCTTGTGGGACTCGCGAGGCTGGCCTGCCGAGCATGCTGCCATGCCTTCTTCCAGGCCTGGCAGGGTTTTGATTCGCTGCTTCGTTCCTCGAGCAGCGAATGTGAGGTCGAGGATGCCTCGATTGCTCACCAGCCCCAGCCAAGGAGATGTGCCAATACGCTTATGTTTGATCAGTTCTGAGTAGCTGCATGTTTGAAAGCGAAGCGCTGCGTTTTGACGAGGGCTTGTGACTAGGTTGCAGGTGGCTCGGTAGGGGATGTTGGATTTACCCGCGGCTGACATCGGCATTGGCAGCAGCAGGGGTCAGCATTTTGTGCATATTTTGTTGCTGTATCGTTTTCCTTTTTCAGTTTTGCGAATGACAACACTGCAAGCAAGCAACAGAAGCTCGGATGGACCAGCCAGCAAGTTAGCAAGCAAGCAACGGATGGGCAAACAAGCCAGCCAAGAAACAACCAAGAGTCGGACAGACAAGCAAGCAAGCGGGTCCCGTTTGCAACGCCTCAGCATGCAATGCCCGGTCTGACAATGTGGCGCACTGTTGCAAATAGCGGGAGAGTCTGTCCCCCCCCCTTCAACCCCCTGTGATCCGTGATGGATTGAATCACTAAAATCAGTGCGACTTTAGCTGGACGTCCACATCAACCTTGGGTCTTGAAGACTTTTTGAAACAGGTTTGATCTCGGGAGGGCGGGATTATACTGTAGTTGGGGGAACTGCCGAGGCGAGGAAACATGGTACTTTTTCGCATGGTGCAGGAGGGACATGGAGTTACCCAGCAGCTGCGACGGCCCAACAGTGGTCCACCGGCTTATGATTCAACTTGCGAGTGCAAGAAGTGCAAGCACGCATGTTTTGAGTGGCGTGAACAACATTTCCAGGAGAGAGTTCGGAAGTGCCTTGTAATGCCCAACGTGTGCGTCACATCGAGAAGCGTAGTCATCAGCGAAACAATGGGGCAGGTCACCCGCTCGACTTCCCAAGCGAAGCAGGAGGCAGTACCGCGGCAAGAGAGAGTGGCAGCAGCCGATTCTGCACAACGCTTGCACATGAAAACATAATGTACAGGACCGGTCCCTATCCTGCAGAGGCTCACAACCAGAAGTTTTCAGGCAGATGAGGGCACAGCCATGAAGAAACACTTTTGACTTCCAGCGCAAGAGAATCAAGAGACGAGACCAAACAACAGGAGCTGGAATCTTGGCTCCAACATCCGAGTCTAAGCTTGCGCCTACGTGGACCTGAAGGGTGCTCGTGTTCTCCACGACGACTACGGCAGGTGTTGCTTTCGAGATACTGTAAGAACCTGTAAGGTCGGCAGTTGGCTCCGTGGAGAAAGCATTCGAGCAATCTGGCCTCCAGGCTCTATTCTGTCACATTCCCACCGCAGCATTGCAGAACCATTACTAGATTGCAGACTTGGCCAGGCGAAGCGAGGGCAAGACGAGGATGCTTCTGAGACTTGGGTCCCGCTACCGAAGCTCCCCGCACCGAAGCGGAAACCTGCATCAGCGTCTCCAGCTTGACCGGCGGTCTTTCCGGAACAAAAGAGAGCTACTCGGACAAGCGGGCAGATACAGACAGCGCACGCGTGGTCGCCGCTTCTGATACTTGTAGTTCCTGATGCAGCTACATTCTAGCATAGTGAAAAATCAATCAAGATCATTCACAAACACCAGCAAGAGGACAGACAGCCCAAAGGGCCCCAGCTTCCCTACAGCATGTACATCACGTTGTGTTCTCAAGTCTCAAGCTGTGCATCATGCACATATGGCTCAGTGTACGGGTTCCTTTTCATGGCTTGCCCGTTAACACACATGCAAAACAGCTAGGGCCTGCAAGGCAATAGCCGCGTCAAAAAATCGTGCCGTGGATGGGGCTTCGACGTTACAAAAACATTTTGTAGCACCCAAGTAAGCATCTTACTGAACTACTGCTCAAGTTGAATCTGCTTCCAGGCGGTACTCGTACTTCGTTTTTGTTTTTTTTGCGCTCTCGCTCTCTCTCTCTCTCTCTGCCTCCCTCTCCCTCTCCATCCCTCCCTTCCTCCCTCCACTTGCATGTGCTCCATGGCCCTTTCAACTTGCAAGCCTGGTCTTAAACCTGCTCACCAAGGTTTCGTCCTTTCAAAGATCCATCGCTGAATCACAGTCCCAGTGCAAAGCTGCGAGTTTGTGACCCGATGGCAGGCAGCTTTGACCCTTAGTGCAATTTCTGGCTACACAGTGTCTGGTTGCGGTCGATGCTCACATGACGCTTGCCTTGCTGGGTCAGAAACGACTCCACGAAAATTGTTTAATAGCTCATGGCTGGTACACACCCCCCTCCCGCTCTCCCGCTCTCCCGCTCTCCCACTCTCCCACTCTCCCACCCTCCCACTCTGCCACTATCCCACTCTCCCACTCTCCCACTCCACTCACCCCACTGCCAGAAGGTCCAGAATGGCGCCATGTGAACAGTCGAAGTTGAATCTTCGCTTTTAAGATGAGTGCAAAGTGGATATCTTATTTAACACATTTTTGTCGACTTATTGAATTGAGCTAGTCAATTTTGGATATATATATATATAGATAAACGCACATGAATGATAGTGGGTGCATTTGTTCATCGTATGCCCCGTGCTCGTGATATGGGAAGCTTGAACACTCTACATCCTGTGACTGCGAGAGTGTTGGCACGTGATCAGCGCATGTCTTCTTGTGACCATTTGATTGCGTGGTGCCGTGCAACCGCTTGGCTCCGAATAGCATTCTGCATTAGGGTCCGAGGCGTTCGGAACTTGCACCTCAAATTGCTTCCGGATGCCTCTCGAGTGATTCGGGTGCGCCACTTAGGCTATAGGTAGCGTTGCGGAGGGCTGATCTGAGTGGTCTTGCTGCTGTGGATCCAGCCTGCATTCACATCCGAGTTTGCATGCATTTCATGCTAACCGGTGCTCGCAGGGCCCTTGTTTTTTCGCCTGATGACGGAACGGGATCTGGCCGATGCCATCCAGGTGCAGCTGGAGATTTTAGCACCCTTTCTGAGGGAACCACCTCCCTTGAACAAGCTTTGTAAGCTTTTGTAAGCTTTTGTAGGTTGTGTTTGCAGCAGCTTCTCATGTTTTCCCTCTCCGAGATCCTTCCCAACCGGCTCTACTGGGCAGCGCTCCACGCAGCGCCGCGCGCCAATCCGAAGGCGGCAAATGAGTGAAGCCACATGGAGCTTCGCTTGCAGAACGAATCGAGCATGAACACGCGAAAGCTGCTAGGGCGGCTGCAGTCACGGAGACAGTTCCTTGCAAGTGTGTGCGATGTTTTCGTTGCAGGTGCACTACTTCAGCATTGATCAAGAGTTCATCTATGAACCCTTTTTCGCTGACTTTGGCTCTGCTCTGAGGTTTGCATGGGAGCTTCAGCAAGGACGTAGCTTCAATGAGTGGCTCAGGTCCACTGAACTTGGGAATGGTTTGGAGATACTGCAAGGCGCTGGAGGTGCGGACAGGAGACAGCATTCAACATTCAGACAGCAAAACCTCATGAAGCTTCTCACCTTGAGTGCCTACTGACTGCCTGCTACTTGAAGAATCTGCTAATTGAAGATCTGAAGGCCAAGCTCGGAGACAGCAGTCTCGCTGACAAGCGGATTGTCCACTATTGCTCTCATGATCCCAAAAAGGCACAGGGTGTCTTGCAGGGGTTAGGGGGCGGGAGGGGTAGACGCTTGCCTTGGTGTTTTCGCTTGCCCCTTGCAGCGCGCCAACGCCGCCACGATGATCGGCGCCTTCCAGGCAGCTTTTGACCAAAACAATAATACGACCAGTCGCAAGTCTACCGGGGTCTACCACCCTGCTTTTCATCGGGTTCGACCTTTGCGAGCGGTCACCCTGCTTGGACGTACATAGGTCATTGTGCTGGGCAAGACAGCAGATGAGGCGCAGTTGCATGTGCTGCAGTATCCGATATTGAAAGGATTCAGTTTGAGAGCCTCCGTAGCAGAGTGGAAGTGGTGCTCGAGCACGCTTGGAGCTTTGGAATAGGCGTACAAGCCATTCCAATCTGTCTACCCTCCCTTCCTGCCGTATCGTGATGCGACCTGCCTGGGCCTTGGACTCCTTGGACCTCGTGTCGAGGGATCCCTCTCGGCACTTTGCATTCTGCATATTGTGCACATTGTGACATGCAAGATGTCCCGAGGCGGCATTTGCACTTATAGCCTGACTGTCTTGGATTGCCTCAAGGCTCATCAAAGCTTGATTCGAGTCATGCACAGCCTTCTGAAGTCTTATTCTATGTTGGGTGATGGAGCATAGAGCACTGCAGCTCCGGCTCAGGGCCTTGAGAAGGCCATCGAGTGTGGGTGGTTTGACTGGAAGCAGCTCCCAGGCAGCAACTTGTGGACCTCGGGTCGGCTTTTCGACATGTGCGTTCATGATATCTGATGAGCCTCATGAGCCGCTGCCACCAGGAGAGCCCCTGCAAACACCCGAAAAATTCTGATGTGAATCTGTGTACGCTTCGACGAACTGAGTTTCGACGTGGAGTCCTACGAGTTCTTTGAGAAGGCCTCTGTGTGACATGATGTCGTATGACTCGCGGCTGGCCCAATGCGGGGTGTAGCGTGCGATCAAGTTTGCGCGGCACCACAGTGGTTTGAAGGGGTCCCAGGATCCCACCAACGGGGAGAGGGGAGGGTCTGAGGGGGGGGGGCCTTCAAAAGGGGGAGGGGGGGGGGCTGCACAAATGTTCGGTTGAAGGGACGGGTTGGGAAAGGGGAAGGAGACCAGGTCCTGGTCTGCTGGTTCTAGTACCGGATGTTGTTGAGGGGTCTGAGGGAAATCCAGCGACTTCTGGATGAGACTTTGTCGCACGATAGGGGGAGACCTTTTGCCTTGGCACTTCTTTTTCTTTCAAGCAAGAGTTGATTGCACTCTTCACAACGCCAACCTCAGACAGACAAATCTCTGGCGGCGACGACGGGCTTACGAGGAATTGTGCGTAGCTGGTAGCTAGGTGCACTGCAGGGGCAGCGCGGCAATGCAAAAACCAGACAGCCAACTAGACAGATGTGCATAGACATGGGCTTGAAGCCTGCAGCGCATCTCCGATTGCAGGTGGAGAATGGGGACATGAATTGGATCATTCCAGACACTCGGACTTTTGGGATTCGTTTCCTTTAACACGTTCAGCGCTTGCACCTGAGGATAAGTTCCTGGCCTTTGCTGGGCCAAGTCCTACTTCCACAGACGCAGATGGGCCCAACGGCTGCAACATTTCACATTACATGAAGCCGGGCTGGGAACCCTTGATTCTTTTTGGCTTTTTTGATTTTCTTGTGCTAACCTTCCTCCAAGGTTTCCAGCTTTCACACCAGAGGACTGGGTTGCACGCTGGTCTCAGAGCGCATGAAAGTTTCCTGGAAAGATCGGCCCACCTCTGGCAACAGCTCAGCTGTCCCAGATCACTTCTTTGATGCTTCGTCATGTGGGCCATATGGCCGTGCAAATGCAAAGAGCTGATAGCGAAAAGCCAGAGGACTATGTGCCCATCTTTCGAGATGCGGGCATTGGCTTGGTCGTGCGGCTGAACAAGAAGCAGTGCGCCTGTCTGGAACACCCGACGCTCACGGCTAAAAGTTGCAGGTGTGTTGCAGGTACACTCACGCGCAAACGTGTTTCTCTGCTTGTAATACGGCCAGCCAACAACTTGGGCATAACTTTCGCTACTTGCTATTTGGGATATGCTTTGAAACCATAGTCGGCAGTTTGACCCAAAAGAAAACCTTACCTGCCCTCAAGCTCCTTGACGTCTCAGACCTGCGTATGTTAATTTACCCTATGAAGATCTGATACAGCCATATACAGCCCTCGTGCGGGGCAAAGAATCTTAAGCCTTGACCCGATGAGCTGTACCCTCACTGCTGCAGAACTTACAAAACGAATGCAGTGACATCTAGCGAAAAGAGGCTCCATTTGCATTTGTTTTTGGAAGAGTTTTCATATGATCCCAGAGTAGAGGCTCTTCACAAGATTCCCTCCTGCAGCAGTAGCTGGTCGTGCAGGAGTGAATTTGACGAACTGAGCTGATAACCCTTTGCGAGGGCCTAAGGTCTCAGAGCTCTGTGTGTTCAATCGCTTGGAAACATACCTCTGGAACATACCCCGCGCCCCAAGCAATAAAATATGCTACAATGACATTGAAATCTCACGGCGTGCCCTAGACCGGGAGGTTATTTCTGAGCATGTTCGTGATGCAGGTACTCAGAATGGGGTTTATGGTTCCAGAGGTATTGTCAGCCACACACACCTTTGTGTTTTGGGTGAAGGCTTTGCTTAGGGCTTCATTGAGGGCGTGCCCAATCTTATTTAAATCTATATCAAAGTGCATTGTGAATATTGTTAGCTGCTTTTGACTTAGAAATTTGGGGTATGTTCAAAGATCCCCATTGTAGGGCTTCTAAACTAAGATCCGAGGGGCCTGGAAGACGGCCAGGGGAGGGGGGTGACCGGGGTGTTGTTTCAGGGTGCCAGGGCTCAGGGCTGCGGTCCGAGGGCGGGGTGGGGGGGTTCGAGGCCCTCAGATTTTCGGGGCATTTCTTTCAAAAGTAGCGTGTGATGGCGTTGTGGTTGCGTGGTTCTGTGGAAAGCTGTCAGCGTGGTTGGTGGTAAGTTGCGAGTTTCTGTTTTTGATGTGCTTTAATGCAGCTCAGGACCATGTAGCAAAATAGAATCGTAAGCTTATGGTACTGTTAGTGCGCTTTTCATGCAGGTTTTTGGGGGTACGTTCCAGGGGTGTGCGCGCGCAAAGCGTTGGCTGCGTGTTCTGCCAGCGAGCCTCGCAGTGTCCACCCTGGTGCATGGGCGCAGTATGGCGCAGTGTCGCGCTTGCTTCTTGCCAGCGTCGGCTGTTGGACCCGCTTGTACCTGAATGTCTGATGCTACCCTATTGGTGCCGGATACCTAAACCTTGAATTAGGAGAGTAAATAGGGGACATATAGGCTTGCTGGTGGACCCCTGAAGGCTTGTTTGTTTTTAACTTGAGAGCAGAAAAAGCTTGCGGTGTCAGCAGGCTGAAAATCCTTCAGCTCCGAAGTTGTCTGAGCTCATGCGCTTGTTGGCATGTGAAGCTTGGGTGGGGTCCTTGGGGGCTTGTTGCCAACCAAAGAGAGGCCCACTCGCCCAGTGGGCAAAACAGGAATCAGGGAGGTCCCAGATTCGACAATCAGGCCACGTCGTCGCGCTCCAGAGTCGTGAGTAGGAACGGCCCCAAGTTGCCACAAAGAGGCTCGTTCCAAAGCGTTTGTGCTAAGCCGCTATACGGACTCATAAAACAGCGGTTCGCACTGGGCCTCGCCGTGATCCCCTCGGTCTCACAGGTATGACCGACGGCGTTTTGTCGACCATGGCCTCAAGCACGTGGATCTCTATTTCCTTGATGGAAGCTGTCCGGACAGGGAGGCTGGGGGGGCAGGGCTTTCTCCAAACCCTTGTTCAAAGAAGTTCGGCCAACAGATCCTGGCAACTCGGCCACTTGTATTTGGACACCGGGGGGGTGGGGGAGGGGGTTCGGGAGTGTCTAGCTGCTCAGTGTAGCGGCTCAGATCATTTCAAAATTCCTCTACATCGTGGAGAACGAGCCAAGTGCGGTGGCTGTTCACTGCAAGGCTGGTCACATTACACGTACATCTGTGCGGTGCTTCTCTTGAGAGTGTCCAGGCCGGCTTGGGGCGCACAGGCACCTTGATAGGCCTCTATGCCTCGGGCTCTGTCAGTTCCATGAACCACTGCGGAAAGAAGCTAAGGCTAGGAAACACGCTGTGCGTTGCATTGTCTTCCCAGCTGAAGGTTGTGTTTCTTGCACTAAGGCCATGAAACATTTCCGCTGGCCGGCACGAGCCTGGATCGGGCCTGGCGGCTCAAGATATGGCATTGAGAAGAGTGCGCCATATTGAGCCATATTGCATCCATTTTATTTTCCTCAGTGACCCATGAAGGCTATAGGCACTGCGACACACCACTTAGCTTGCAGATCTTCGAGCCCATCCGATCACGTGATCTTGATTGTTACCGCTTCTCCATTGAGGTGGAACCGGATATGTCGGCCTGGCAGTATCCTGGGGCCTCAACAACAGTTCCTGTGCGATATGCAGCAGGACATGTGGCAGGCTGGGTCATTCAGGGTCCGGAGGCCTTCAGACCCACTGCCCTAACGTTGCTGTAGCTCTGCAGTGCTCCGCATCAGCGGAAGAGCTGTGGACCCAAACACGAAAGCATGCCGATGACCAGATGAGAGTCCAAGGGGGCAGTGGGCAGAATGCATCATTGGCGAACAAGCGAGGGGGGTGAGGGGAGACCTTCTTCCGGTTTACCAAGCGTCCGGGCCGGATGAAGAAGCTGGTTGCTTGATGGGCTTGGCAAGTCTCGGGGAGACGGTTCTAACTTGCGCGGTGGGTTATCTATCGTCCTTCCCGAGCTACATGGTAGTCAGAGACTTCAGAACCGATTGGATGAGCCATGAGTAGGCTTGTAGCAAGCGACCTCTGCGACTTTGGGGGATGCTTTGCCCTTTGCCGTCCTTGACTATCAATCACAAATTCTTTGCCATGCCTTACCATCTTTTACCATCCTTGACTCCTTGTGCCTGCGGTGACGTGCCTTCGCTCTTCGGGCTGGAGCCTGCAGGGACGCGTGGACATTGGACTACCCGTCGACTTCGATGAGGGATTGAAAAGTTGTCATGAGCTTTCTCTGTTGCTTAAGCGTAACTTTGATCTGAATTCAGTCACAATGGAGCAGGGCTCAGAATTTTCCTGGAATTCTCAGCTTGGTAGCCTAAACCGTGAATATTGTTGAATCCAAACAAAGAAAGAGAGCAGCCAAACCTGACGAGTTCAGAGCTGACTTTGGCTCCCTGCAGGCCGGCGAGGCTCTGCGCGGTCCCCCGGTAGACCCAGCAAAGTGGGCACCTGCATGACATAGGGAGGACAAGTTGGCCCACGGCCAGGCAGCTCCCAAAGT